CTAGGAATGGGCTTCGCTGAGTTTCAAAACATGTAATCAGTTGTGTGCTTTACGACAATATTGTGTGTTTTAGTTTGAGGCTTGCTATCCACACTTTTTATTTTGTCTTCTTGATTTAATTCTCAAAATTTTTAAGATGAATATATTGTCTAATGTATTTGCTTCCACAGAAATTACACGGAATTAATTAAATATGATACACGAAGACACTTAAGATAACTCTGTTTAAAAGAAATCGTCTCCCATGAGTATTGTATATCTGACCCATGCGGGAGTATAGTTCCTATCAGCTTGATAATGTGTTATTATTGCCTCCCTTGGGCATCGTCTACGACAGTGTTTCCCAAAATGTGCGCCGCGACCTCTTCATAGGGGCGCCACGGAATATTCGAAGATACACGAGTTTTGTTTTCATCTCTTACATACAAATAGTCATACTTTTACTTAGGTTAGGGCACCGTGGAAAATTTTTTTTTTTAAAGGCGGCGAGACTAAGACAAGTTTGGGAAACACTGATCTATGACACACCCTAGTAGTGAGTACCGAAAGAGTTAATATTGGTAACAAGTGCTAAGTTCATATTTCGTGCTGTGTGTCTAAGCATGTGTGGGCTTGTCTAAGTGTGTGCCTATTGCTTTAAAGAATTTACAATAAACAGTCTGTACCTGAAAACAACTTCAATGTATTCCTCATTTACAGCTCTCACACAACCTAGGATCCCCTGTGATGGATGCCTTGTCACTAAGAAGGGACGGGGATGAAGCATGGAAAGCAGGCGGTGAATGATCTTGCCTCTTCCAACAACTTGACGAGGATAAAATCTGTTTGATGGCAACGATATGGTACTAAATACTCCACTTGGGCCTTCGACTATGGTGTAAACAGTTCCTGTGTTGGAGGATTTTTTAACATCTATAGTTTCAACGACAATAAAGTAATATTTTGAACTTCAAAGACTTTTACTAGTAGTATAGTGAAGATCTTTTTTTTCGCCGTGGGCGCATCGGGCATATGGGAAGAGCAACCCATATTTTTACAGATCAATCGGCACTTGGTGGGTAATGCGGTCACCATTACGCCGGCCGTCTTTACTTCCACAGGACACACATCCTGGTACCCATTTTAGGCTGGGTCGACCTGCGACGCCCCATACCATGATAAAAATCCACGCAGCCAGCAGCGGGTTTCGATCGCGGTACAAGGGAATTACGAGTGGGAATAGCAACGCCTAAGCCACGGACGCCGCTTCATAGACTTTCAGAACCATTTTTTTTTTTGGTAGCTTACACAGAACATGGCTGGTAGAAATTATGGAATGCAATGATATACCCACGAGAATAATAATTATTATTAGGACAATATACCGGTTTCAGAGTGTGCAGTGCGAGCAGATGACGGTTTAAATCAGTGGACTCAAACCTGAGGGAAATGCTCCTCTAGGGGGCGCAAGGAGGTTTCAAGGGGGCATCTGGCAATTATAAAAATGAGTTCATTTGTACTTGTAACAATCCGTTTTGTTCTAGTTTAATTATAAATAACATATTTTAAAAACTATTTTTAAACAAAACGACAAGAGCATTTCTTTTTCATGAGCCCTTTGTGCATCTACAGATAAAAATCGAATTAATATGATAACATTTAATATTATATTAAGAACACATTCTGACCAAAACGTATTTCCATATTTTCTGTTTCGCTTGTTGCGGAATCCACTGTCAGCCTCTTTTTAATCACAGTTGGTTATGTTGGGAACGTAAGAGGCGCGCGGGGGGGGGGGGGGGGGGGGGGGTCCTACCATATACTAGAGGGGGTGGAGTGCGTGGTGGTCTTGCCATATACTCAAAGGGGAGGGGGAGGGTGAAAGGTTGGAAACCACTGGTTAAATGATTGTGTTTGAAACTGAACCTGTAGTAGTAGTAGATTTTACCGGACTAGGACCTTACACAAGCGATAAACACCCGATGACAAAAAGTGCGACCATGTGGATGAGGATCACCAGTGGAGAGGTCCCGGAAACCGTGTTCAGCCATTTGACCATATTTATGGTCGGGCTATGTTGCGGCCCCTGGCAAGAGCCAGGGTGTCGCTTCAAAATAACTGAAAAATTGCATTCCACAAAGGGATGATTGTTAACTGAAAAACTTTAAAGAAACAGGGATGCATTTTATCTCCACTGTTATCTGGCATAGCCGTTGATTGGGTGATTCAAAATGTTGCCTTGGAAACGTCCGTATCGACTGGATGGAAAACACAACTGGAAGATCTTGACTTTGCAGATGATATTTTTCTGCTAAGCACAAACGACAATAACATGCAAAGGAAGCCAAATGATTTAGCAAATACAGGTTGAACTTCAAAAACGTTACGAAAAGACTCATTTATTGAAGACTCCAGTAACAGTTCATGCAGATGTAACACTCATTCATTCATTCATTCAGTAGCATGTCCCTCGCGGAACCTCGCTGCCATAACAACCCTCCGGAAAACCTTCCTATCCTGAGCAAGATGTCCTGCGTCTGATACACCCATCTGGAGATCATCTGCCACATCCTGCACCCATCTTCTCCTTGGCTTTCCTCTTCCTCTCTTCCCAGGCATATACCCCTCCATTATTGTTCTCTCTAGACCTCCATGACGTTTCAAGTGACCAAAATATTTCAATTTTCTTTGTTTTATTGTCTTTACTAGATGTAACACTAGTAACACAAAAAATAGTAAAGGACCATTTTCCACGCCTTTAGGCGTCTAGGTCATATAGGGCTAGATCTATATTTTTATATACCAATCGGCACAAGATGGGTGATGTGGTCAGTATCACGCCGGTCGCCTTTACTTCCCGAAACTGCACCCGGTAACCACTCAAGGCTGGGTCGACCTGGGAGCCAAGGTCTTAGACGTAACACTAGAGACAAAAGTAATTGAAGAACTCGTCCAGTTTCCTTATTTAAGGTAGTAATTTTGAGGGTAAAGAAAATACAGAGAAATGAACTATGACATGTATGTGTGTATTAAGTGGTACCCAACCAGGAAATTACAAAAGCGATAAACATCCCCTTTCACAAAGTGTCATTATACGGATGAGTATCACACGTGGAGAGGTCCCGGAAACGCTGTTTAGCCGTTAGGCTATATTTCAGACCCAGCTATATTTAGCCCCCCCCCCCCCTCCCCCGGAAAAGGCAGGATGGGGTTTCAAAATAACTAAAAATTTCATCCCACATGGGAATGACGAGGTCAAGCCATGTATTCAACCACTATGACATGCACTAGCAAAGCATTGACAGCTTTTAAACGCTTGAATAAAATTTGGAACTCTAAATTTTAAACTTTTCCGACTGTTACTTTTTTTTTTTTTTTATTCTAATGTTATTACATCATAGAAACCAATGTAATGTAGGTTATCTCAGAGATAAAGAAGTTAAGGAACATTTTCAGTTACAGTCTCTAATACGTACCAGGTGTTGCAACAGTTAGCTAAAGATGTCAGCACAGAAGTCTGCTGGGATGGGATTAAAGGAATCTGGAATGAATCTTGCATAGAAGTTCTTGGCAAGAAAGAAAGGAAACATAAAGCGTGGATAACACCAGAAACCATTAAACTGACTGAAGATAGGAAAAGTAAAAAGGCAGACTTAAACAATAGCAAAACTAAAGCTGCTTAAGCTAGAGTCGGGATAAATACACAGAAGCCAATAAGGAAGATAGGAGGCGTATAAGGGCAGATAAAATGAAATATCTATATGATCTAGCACAAGAAGCGGAGACAGCAGCAGCAAAAAGAAACCTCAGAGAACTTTATAGTAACACAAGAAAATTAGTAGGTAAATATAGTCAGCCAACTGGATCAATCAAAAATAGTCAAGGAAAGGTACTTACTAACACTAAAGATCAAATGGACAGATGGGCTGAATATTTTGAAATGCTTCTAAACAGACCAGGCCCAGAGGTTCCTCAAGATTTCCAGCCTCTAGAAATGGAAGTGGATATCAACTGTGAGGTACCATCCAAAGAGGAAATTAGAAAAGCTATCAATCTTCTCAAGGAAGGAAAGGCGGCAGGCCCAGATAGTATCCCAAAAGAAGCCATCAGGGCCAACATAAACACATCAACAGAACTGCTACATAGATTTTTCAGTAAAGTCTGGGAGACTGAAGAAATACCAGCAGACTGGAGAGAAGGATATCTTGTGAAACTGCCCAAAAAAGTGATCTAAACTAGGACCTCAAACCTCGGACTGAGTTTGATACAGCGGAAGAGCTGACTGGTTTTCGATTTGTTGACGTTCAGCTTCTTATTAACTTTGTTAAAACTTTATTGTGCAGTCAGTGTGGGCAACCTCTGGGAGAGAACAAGTCCTTTATAACTGAAGAAAGAAGCTCGCTTGCCTCGACGTTCACTTTCCACTGTCAGTGTCAACAAAAAGTTTCATTTATGTCCTCTGCAAAATGTGGGAAGACCTATGAAGTCAACAGAAGGTATACACTTGCTCTTTTTGCTATAGGAAGGAACTATATGTATGGCAAGAAATTTCTTGGCAATATGAACATGCCAACAAGTATGCATAAGAGCAGTTGGTCTCTTCACAAGAAGAAAATTCTTCATGCCACAGAGACTGTTGCACGCACAAGTATGCAGAGAGTTGCAGCTGAGATCAAGCAAAAGAAAGGAGAAGCCATAACAGTCTCCTGTGATGGCACATGGCAGAGAAGGGAGTTCCAGAGCAAAAACGGTGTGGTCACTCTTCTCACCGTGGATGGGCCTAATTCAAAAGTTCTTGACACTGCAGTTCTCAGTAATTATTGCAACCCTTGTGCAAAACATAAGAAGACTAAAACTGAGGCAGAGTTCCAGGCATGGAAGCTTTCTCATGATCAGAATTGTGATAAGAATCACAGTGGATCTGCAGGTAGCATGGAACCAACTGCAGCATTGGAAATGTTCAGCCGAAGTGAGCAGTTATTTGGTCTGCGCTATGCTTCTTTTCTTGGAGACGAAGACAGTAAATCATTCACATCAGTTGCAAATGCAGAACCACCTGTGTATACTGATGTTGATATTGCAAAACTAGAATGTTGTGGGCATGTGCAGAAGAGAATGGGACGACACCTTACAAATAAAGTCAATGAACTAAAGAAGGAGACATTTATGCACAATGGCAAGAGTGTTCGAGGAATTGGTGGGAGGGGTTGTCTCACGAAAAATTCAATCCTAAAGATTCAAGGACACTACGGTGCTGCTATTCGAAGAAACACCAACAATGTGCCTCAGATGCGAAGAGAAATCTGGGCCATATGGCAGCACAGAAACCGTGACCATATCAACTGTGGAGATTGGTGCCCTTCCAAGAATCAGCCTGCAGCAGATCCTGACAGAAATGCTTTCCCTCCCTATGTGTGTGAGGCCATCAGACCTGTCTTTGAAACACTCACCAGTGAAACCTTACTGTCAAAGTGTGCTCATGGAGGGACACAAAATACAAATGAGAGTTTTCATAATTCCATTTGGCAGAGATGCCCAAAGACTGGTTTTGTTGGAAGGCCAAGACTAACTCTTGCAGTTTATGATGCTACTGTGGTTTTTAATGATGGTGAGAGGGGTAGGATACCTACATTTGAGAATCTAGGAATGCCTAGTGGACTCTATACCAGACTTTGTTTCAGTGAGCTGGATCGAACAAGAATAAACTCAGCAGCTACAAAATTATCACCGAGTGTACGGCAAGCGAGGAGAATAGTGTCTGTCATGCATGACAAAGACAAAGAGGATTTTTACCTTGCTGGTGCCCACGAGTAGTCTAGGTTAATTTTACTTCATAGTTCACATCTTGGGACATCACACAAATTATATAAATAGCTTTTGTGCCCAATAGGATGGACTGACTGACATTTTCAGTATGTTAAAACTTTGAAGGCTGTCAGAAACCTAACTGTCTAGGGCTCGATTCCATTGGCTCTGCTATAGGCCAATGACAGGAAAACACCGTACAAACACACTCAAGCCAAACACTTGTTGCAACACACACACAATCTTTATTACCAAAGATGCAAACGAAGTGGTGGTACACCTCAGGAGGAGTAGCGCTCCTTATTCAAAACCCAGGCCGCGTCTAACTTTAAAATCGTTTAGAGGCGCCTTTACACGTTTATGAACTAAGCTCTGAGCCGCTACCACTCTCCCGTACAGTGCCAGCTCAACCCGCTATATCTCGATGCCAAAGACGTTATGGCATGCGCCAATGTGTAGGCCTAAGTGCGTCGACAGTGTTAACGCCACCAGCAAAGCATGGTCTGGCTTCTAGTTACAACTATTACTTTACATGAAACTATGAACAGAACACGTTACATCTAATCACTACGCTGGTACCTATCTTCATGTCAAAAACAAACGGTCAGTCAAAAATCCACTCTCGTCCCACGTCCAGTCTCCTAGCAGTCCCCCAAGCAAGCGTTCCGCGTCCGGTCCAAAATGTGCACACCCGTGCGAAGTCCGCTCATGCTCGTTTCTACGTGTGTATGCACGTATTGAGTGTCACTAAGGGTCGCAGGGTACGATGACGAGATTCATCATCATCATCCTGAACTGTCCCATAGCAGGGCGAACCCTGACATCCACCCCTCCTTTTGGACAGATACTTCCTGATGACAGACGTCTACCTTACATATCTACGTCTGGAGTCAAGTATCTCTACCTGGGTATGGGATGTCGACAGAATTGTGTCTACATTCAGTTCAGTGCATCTCCGGATATCCTGCTTTCTTCCCCCAATTATTGTCACAAACAGTCATGAAAGTTCCTATCAACATAGATTTGAGATGTTTCCTAATGAGAGTCAGTCACCTGAGAACAACGTATCTTTACATCCTTATGGGACATGTACATATACAAGGACAACACTAAACCATGAAGTTACCAATAGTATCACAACATGTCACAAGTACGCCACTACTAACCAACACTTTGTAGTCATAGAGGTTAAGACTAATTATATAATATTGTGGGTGGACTATTAACCGTCCGGGACCCACATGAACCCAACCCCACTCTCGTGCGAGTTGTACGCCATTGCGAACATAACAATGGTCGTCATAGACATGACCCTTCTATGGTTCTAACTAAGTCATCCCGACTCCTTGACGTCCCGTCAAATAATGTGTCTAAAATTACCTAGCAATCCCTGCCACTGACACATGTCATACCTCTAGACATATAGTGTAGTATATAGAAACACAAGTGTGGCCTGTACGACACATTTGCAACAGTCATGGAAAATGTCACCTGTAACATGAAACTTCCCCCAATGTACAAGGTTTCTATCACCTTCATATATACTCAGTGATCTCTCCTCTGGAGCGACAATCTCTTCTAACAATATTTAAGTTTCAAATATGGTTTATAAGTTTCTTATTTAAAAACAAAAACAAAATAAAATAATTAACCAAATTATTGTCAGCCAAAATCTACTACAAATTTACATAATTAACAAAACCAACGGGAAAAAAAAAAATACAAATTATTTCAAATAATATGTTACCACGTCGTGTCCTATTGTCAAAAATATTATTTACCTACCTAGTCTCGACCTTATATAATAATTTCCTATTACATAAAAAATACTATGTGTAACTAGTTGACTATTGCGGTGCCATCCACAGAACCCAAATGTGTGGTTGACCTCTCAACAACCAACATGTCACATTTAACTTACAATTACTCACGGAGAAATGTTAGAAATGCAAACCTGCAAAATTTTATACGTTATAGTTTAACTTTAACGATTAGGAGAAAATGGAAAAATTACGTATTGAAAACCAAAAAAGAAAATCACCAGAGAAAAATTACATTTCCAAGCTGAAAAATCAACCCAAAAATTAAATTTTAGAAATAAATAATGTGTACATCCAATTTGCAATATGAATACAAAATATTTCACAACAAGACATAGATATCAAAGATGAATCTGATGAATCAGATGTATAACCTTCAATATGTAACAAACCAAACATATTACACTATCACAATTAACACATAACATATAGAACATGTAATGGCTTAAACATAATATGTTAATTCACGATCACATAACATTGATAACATTTAACGAATAGAATATAACGTATGTAATCAACTGAATTTATCAGAATATGATCACATTTAACATAAATTTCTCGTAGTGACGTGAATATTTCTATAGTCCCCACGTGTCATTTGTCCTTTCATTCACTTTTAATGTACATTCACTCATCAGTCATACTCTAAGTTGACGATGATCCAGTCGCTGATGTCCAGATCCACTGTCATTGACGATTCCACTTTTGTTGCCATAATAATTTGAATTCCAGTGTGTTTAAACGATTAAGTTGAATGCTTTCAGTGTTCAATGAGTTCAGTTTCCTTGAATTGAAATCTTCAGCTGTATATTGTTCTAACGAATATTCACTTCGCCTTGAATTCTAGAATGATGCCTTTGAAATTTAGAATGTCATATCAGATAAGATCTTGCAACTGTAAGAGTTCACATTATTGCTTGAAGGAGATACATCTAGTTTTGCCACATTTTTGGTATTTCTGCAATATGAACAGTTCTTTCCTTAAACATCTAGCACAAAGTCGATAAGTAAATATGTTACTGAAATGTTCTTGCTGTAGGTAAGCTCGGTTTAATGAGCCTTTCACAGTGTTGGCTTATGGATGCAGTACCTAATCATCTGGCTGTTTGTGTATTTGTATATTATATCAGATGAAGCATTGATGTGGAAAATGATGAACATAATATTGAAGTGTCTGATGGTGTCATCGTTGACTATTTTCAAAAAATTAATTATTTTCCCATTTCTCAATAGGATATTAATATGTCTGTACTAGTTGAACATTTAGTATTGAAACAATTTCATCAGACATGATAACTTTATCTTCACTTTCGAATGCAATCTTGTTAATCTGCAACTGATGAAAATTTTGTATCAGCAGTAGGTTTACTGCATCATTGACTTCCGACATGGAGACAATATATCTTTTCGATCTGCAATAAAAGTTGTTGAATGCTGTAAAATCATCATAGATCGAAAATGTTTCTGTCTTGTACAGTACAGTTGTGGATATTGACGTCATAGTCATCATAGACGACTCAACAGATCAGCCGAATTGTAGACAATATTGATGTGGGTTATTTCAAACTTGTTCTTTAAAAGTAGTGCCCACTTGGCAATCAAGTTGTTTTTAGGTACTGGTTCACACGGTCTGCAACAATATCTGTGCTGAATAAAGGCAACAGTTTCTTGTAAGATTGCAACAGCAAGGTACATACTATTGGGTGCTGTTTTGGCTTCGCCATGACATAGGCATCTGCTAAACTGTAATACATCGACGAAGGGTAACTCTCCTTTAAATGGGTACGCTTCTGGTTGCTTCAAACAGCCCGCACTTCTTATACTGTTCACGCTAGATCTGAGGATGGAAGTCAATTTAAATTGAGACAATTTTAAAATTGGGGAACTGGAGAACAGTGTCTTGATCCTGGCGAAGGCCTGGTCAAGTTCAGTATTCCATTCAATCATGTTGGAGGATCCCTTTTTCAACAATCTGGTAAAGGCAACAGTTTCATGACTAAAGTTTGGGATAAATTTATTATAATAGTTAATGAGCCCAAGTAAGCTTCGGATTTCCTTTTTTGTTGTGGGATTCTTAAGGTTCAAAATTTTTGAAATAATTTTGTTATCGCTCATTAGCATCCCTTAAAAGTGTTGTGCCCCAAAAAATTTAAGTTCTTGACAATCAATTTTGATCTTAGACAGTTCAACTGTCAATCCAGATTGTCCAACACACTCACAAAAAGTTCTGAGCCTCTTTACATAATTTACAACATTTTGAGAAAAACATTTGCTAACTTTTTCATTTGATCATAAATTAAAAATGTCTATGTAGGTAATAAATTTTCAGAAGCATGTAAGAGGTTCCATGAGTTTTTGGAAACACTACTGGGTATTACTGTTTGCTTGTCTGTTGGACCTTTTTCAGGTTCGTCAACCAGCCTACATGATTCTACTTGATGTCCCTCTAATGTATTCTGTCTGTAAGCAATAGGTAGTACAGTATGTTTAAATGCATAAACCCCTTTATTGTGGAATTGGGTAAGGATACCCTTTTCAAATCCTAAAGACCACAGTCCTTTTTTAAAAAAAATTTTTGTAGACCAATCAGCCAGTTGTAAACATTTTAATAATGTAGCATCATCTCTTTGTTCTGAGATGAATTCATCTGTTGCATTTGGTGGATCAGAATGAGTAAGGTTTAAAATATTATCCATTCTCTCACGCTCTCTCACATCATTCTCTCGAATTGTTTGCTGCCCTGCAACAACATCACACTGTTTCATCTTTTTTCTTCACTTTGGGTTGGGTCTGTGCTAGCACTGCTGGTACATAATGAGTCCTTTCCCACTCCTTTATTTCTTTCATGGTACAGCTTTTTGGGTTTTCTTTCCCTGCAATGATCACGTCGGCGGGTGGTTTTCTACATGCAAGTACTTCTATTCTCCCACAAAGAAATGGAGATTCAACCTTCACCCTAGCTATTCTCAACTCACATTTCTTGCTTCCTAATTTATATGCTATTGTTTCCCCTGTGTAATCTGGCTCCTCTAATAAGGACTTTCTAATAATTGAAAAAAATGTGCCAGATGTTCTTATCACTGTACCTGGTTTGCCGTTTATGATACCCTTACTGCTTTCCCTGTGGGTTTCAGTGTTGTATGCTGCCATTAATCTTTCGTGTGGTATTGTCTCGTCATCTGACAG